TAATTGAATGATATGTAAAACACCTTTGCCTTTCAAAACTTTGGAGTAATGTCTTGGCTTTATTCATTGAAGTGTAATATGCGCAATATGAGGAAGGCGTTTACGTGTGCACCTTTGACAAAGGTAAGTGAAACATCAAAATGTTTTGATTTAGCAAACCTGGATCACGTTTTTATGGTTTCTACGCGTCATCATCGGATACTCAATAGCCCTAATTATGAACACCTACTTTTAATTTCAAGTTTTGAGCAGCAGAGACTTCATTGGTAACAGGTTTGATCACGAGCTGATACCGGCGGAATCACTGTAAATCAACACATGACAATTAATCTGATGCTTACTAACCACTGGTTCTATGCAGTAAGTTGCGTGGATTTCTCGTGAAAAGTGGTGACCAGTGCGGTACATGGAGGACAAATACTCGTCGCCAATAACAATGCCTAGTGCCAGTCGTGCTATATCGTGAATTAGCAGGAGTTGGAATTCATGGACTAGCAACTGTATTGAGTCCATGTGGCTAAAATTGTCTACAGGCTCGCCTTAAAAACCATGAGGTCTTGGATGCAGACACCCTTGGAGGGTGCGTGCCACTGAAAAGTCCCAATGTAGGACGAAACAGGTGTGCAGTGCTCCCTTTTCTCCAGATAATTCCCTAACCGATGTCAGCTTGTGAATAAACCTGTAACTTATTATTATTTAAGACATAAGGCCATGAAAATATGGTAATTTTTTTGTTCATGTGACTTCTATGCATGTTATGATGTCATTCAGAAAACTTGTATGGCCTGACATATGTCATGTTATTCAAAATGATGCTACCTAACTAAATAAATGCTTAGTCTTTAGCTACTGGCGTGTTGATGAATCTCGTATATTCATATGCATGCCTTCAGGTATATACGTATATATATTGGTGCTTTATCTATCTACTGTTTCTTATCTAGAATTTTCCTATGGAAATTTTTGTTTCTATATTTGTTTAACTAGGTTATTCAAAACTTTAGTGACACACATTTCAGATTTGCTTCTGTTAAAAATGAACAGAACTAATGACAGGGTAGATAATAAAAATTACCGCTGATACCAGCATCACAGGTAGCATAATGTGAACAGAACCAGGTCCATTTCATTTAAAACTGAAAGAAAATTTACACCCACCGTAACTTTAATGACTGAAGAAACGTCTCCTACATTCTTAGTTCAGCCTTTAGCGTACAAGTTGCTATGCTTTCTGAAGTTTGAAGAAGTTTGTCAAAAGTGTATGAATCAAAATGCTTCAAACCACAGAAGGAACTCATACACTAAAGCCTGAATAGCACTTTTAGAAGGCGTTTCTTTAGTCGACAAACTTACTATGGACATAATCTGTCTAAACAAAACGCATAATTTCTTTTCTACTTTTATACCATTGCAACTCTGCTTCTTAGCAGACTGAACATAATTTGAACTCTCTACTTCATTTGAATTTTGACGTCTTCTAACATCAATTCTGTTACATAATTCCTGATTGTGGCCGACTGGATTATGCGGAACACTGTATATGGGGAGAAACAAAACAGGAATACGTAGGACCGAAAAACAAACTCTCAAGGATCTGGAATCCCCGGATGATTGATGTCTAAGGTCATACAAACTCGAAGACTTATAAGTAAAACCAAACAAAGTGGAAAAAGATGCAGGCAGCAAAGAAAGGACTTCAAGTCAATATATGGAGGACGGAAGTGATGAAAGTAACCAACCAACCAACAACAACAACCACTATTTACTAACAACGGAATAAATTCGAAAGAGGCGATTCCCTTGACTTATCTAGACAAGCAGCATAGTTTCAACCACAGTTAGACAGCGCAAATGAGGATTTCAAAACCATCCAGGATCGGGAAGTCAAGACACATCTTCACCCCGCTGAAATCAGTTCGGGAATCTTCTGGGATCGGAACAATCAAAAAGATCTGGATTTTTCAAACCATTGTTAAATCAATGCTTCCACATGATTCAGAAACTTGGCCAGCGTGTCACAAAAAAATCTTTCCAATGGGCTACTACAGACGTTTACCAACAGCTGCCTTCTCTGGTTTCAGATGGCTAGAAAGAATTAGGAATAAGGAGCCACTCAAGAATCTACTGCTCAGCAAATATGAAGGAGAAAATTAAGATGGATTTGTTACACTCTTTGGAGACCGTCGAATGACATCTTGCACCAGGCCATCACTCGAGTTGAACCCAAATGGGGATCATTTACCTGCGGGTGACATGGAGGCGATCGTGTGAGGCGAAGGTGGCAGCATATGGGAACTCTTGGAGACAGCTAAAGATCACTGCAGAAAACTGGGTAAAATGGAAATATGCTGTTAAAGCCCCATGTTCCACTCAGAACCCAAAAGAATAATTACAGTTGTAACCAACTCAGCTGCCGAATACTAAGATGTTCCCTTTGCGGAACCTGTGGATCCTATATTCCATCCCAGACAGACGTGTGTAAATTCATTGCAGACATTCTTCTAAATAGAACCTATCTGTTACTAGGTCTTTCACAAATATTGATAGTTCTTTAAATAATATCGTTTTTAGTTAAAAAACTAAGGACGAAAGATAATAAATTAATTCATTGACTTGAATACTGAATTGAGAACATATCTTCATTATATCAGGTTAAGAGTTAGTCTTACTGTGGGAGGCCTGGTAATACTACCCAATTGCCCAAGTGTGAGATAGGTAGGGTGAGACTCGAAGCCAAGGCGCACTGGCTGAAAATCTAGTGCGTAATCACTTATTCAGCATGTTTACATTTTGACTGTATATGCTTCATGCCTTAAATCTTTAGTTTTAATACATAATAGTTATTTTCATAGAGAGTATGACTGAATAATAATGATTGAATAAATGCTGCTATTTATCTATTGCTAAGCACAGTACTTTGTAGATATTTATCAGTAATTAGTGTTTGTAACAAGTAAGGCGTTTAAATTAAGGAAGATACTGTACTGTGTTAGCTTGGATTACTGTTCCTTTATGAGATGACAACAACTGAAGAAGAAAGCTGAATCCATGTATGATAGATAACAGCATATTTTGTCATTTGATGTATATAATTTTTCCATCTCTTTCTCGCAATTTGAGTGACTGAATTCCAGAGATACGGCAGTTCAAGTGGCCACACTCCATGTAAAACACAAAGGTAGTTTGACGAGAGAGACTAGGTTAAATAATAAAAACGAGCAGAAATATGGGGAGAAAGATAGAAAAACGGAAAATTATGACTGTTTAGTGGATGTAGAGGATCACAGAAAGAGTGAATGCTTCTGTGTCAGTGACAACGATTTTGGGCCATATCATCAGTAGTTTCTAGCCACTGGTTCTTACCGTCCCAGTTACCCCAACCAGGCATTCTGCACTTTTATACGTGGCTATCTAAAATTAGTGATCAAAGACTTCATGATTTGATGCCACTTCGAAATCCTTTCCGACCTAATCAGAGGGCGGCTAACATTTCCAGTCAAAGTAACCGATTGCTGGGATTGCCGAACACGTGTTCAGCCATTTCAGTCTATCAAGCATCACAACGTTATTGATTAACTTACCATCTTTACCTAACACCTGAGGCCTGACCTAAATATTACTCTACATATTATACTGCTTAATACGGGAGATAAAACACAGACACCTATGATCAAAGATAGATAGCTAGTCTCTCCATGTCTTCCACTTCCAATGCCCATGTTTCACAGTCATAAAGAAGAACAGAACAAATTACTCCGCAGTACACATGTCCGTTAATCAATAATTGCATATCACGTCAACGCGAGAGATGACGTGAGCTGCAGAATGCCACACTAACCTTCCGTATCCATGTTGAGATTTAGTCAGCTATTAACCCATTGGGACTGATACAAATTCTCAAATGAAAAAAGTGGTCAAAACGTGCAGCCACTTTACTCTCTATCTTTAACCTGAGAGTCGATGCAGTCCAGTCCTGTAACGCAGAAGCACATAGATGAACCCCTTTCATGAAACATATTAAATTTATCCATTTAGTACTGACAGTTTTGCCCGAAATAAGTAAAAGCACCTTGTTAGCTTAGTTCTTCTTAAATCGTAGCATTATTCATGAGTATTTTGACCACAAGGGGGACAAAATGGATACACTATTTACGTAAAAACATTATGAAAGTATATAAGGTAATGAACAGCTGTTTCGTCCTGGTTTTGGACTCTTCTTCAGCATTGACTTCTGTCAACTGGATTCCCTCTCCAGTAGCTGAATAGCCAACGAGCTTAGCCTCGTAACCTGAAGGTTTCGGGTTTGATCTCCGTTTGAGGAATGCGTGCATAATGCTGAAGAGTCCCAAACTGGAACGAAATAGTTTTTTAAAACCATCTGGTTTTCAATAGTTTTCTAACTGGCATCAGTCCATGATCAAATATGGAATAAATCGAATTCCTGCAGTCTAACTATTGTCATAATAAAAGCATCAGTTAACTACTAGTAATAAGAATTTATGGCCCGAGTGACCTAATGGATAACAAGAAGCTTGTCACCTAAATTTCTACTAACTTACCCCATGTTGCTAGTTTATACTTATGCTCTCCTGAAGCAGCTTCAAATATTCGAATGGCTTCGATTTTCTAAATCGTATAGCGTCTTAACTGAGAAGTCTAGCTTACTTGGCTTTTAAGTTGGACAGAGTCTTTTCTGACATATCATTTCCATCTTCCAAACAGAAACATATCATAAAGCCTTTGTAAAATATCATTAATCCACAAAAGTCTACGTTAACTTGGAGCTTATATATTTTACTGATTTTTAGCTGTTTGAAGACGAAACTCTATTTTGTCAGTATCGCAACAAGCAATATGTAGAGTACAAAACCATCTCCGTGCATAATTAGGGCTGTGATTCATCTAGCAAAAAGCCGACGAACCAGTAAGGCGAACAGCTTGTAGACATACTATGGCTACACCAAGATTTAATACTGCTTCAGAGATAAATAAATGCTCACCTTTTCTGTTCGATTCTGTGCCATCTCATCAATGTGCTTTAAGGTAATCGATTTCCGTCTGTGTTCATGTCGATTACTAGCTCCGTACTTCGTATTATAATTTCGAGGCCGAGAATGTTTTCCAGTAAGTGAGGAAGTTCGACGAGAATTCACACCGTCGTGTTGTGGTTGCAAAGTTCTCCGATGATCTAAACTCAGAGGATTCTTCTCTCTTTCTTTATACTCCATTTCAAGATTCCAGTTGGTTTTTTCAATAGAATTTGTGAGATATTCTAAAGCTTCAATAAGACTTTCAGTTTGTCTGATTGAAAATAATTTTCTACTCGATTTCCGTTTCTTTTTTACAGCTGGAAGACCGGCTATTGCTTTCGTTGTTGCCTTCTGCACTGAAGATATTTGATTAGTGCTAGGGGAGTTCAGATGTATTTTTGGTACTGCTTCGCGGGAAAACTGTTGAGGAACTTCACTTCCTAATTGGCCTTTATCATGCTGGAATGGCGTTAAAGTATTGTGTTTGATTTGTGGAGATCTTCTCGACATCGACCATGGAGGAGTCTTCGACTGTGTTTGTCTGCTTAAAGTCGAATCGTCTGGCATTGACAAATCGAGTAATGTATTTGGTTCATGGTTCATTAAATCAAGTTGAACACTTGGGATATTTGGATTACGATAGTAAACTGTCCATTTGTCACCATGATCATCTCCAACTGTCTCTGAGAATGTTGTCGGCTGATCCGACACAGACGGTGGAAATGTGTGAGGAATCCGATTCGGAGATTGAAGCACTTTATTTGGTTGGATATCAAGCAGTAAATTGTCTTCTTTTGTACGATTTTTACGCTACAATTAAAGAAAAAATGTTTGTCAGATAAAGGCAATAATAGTATTCACCACACTCAAAATTGAATCGATGAAGAAGAATTTAAGAGTTACTGTAAGTGTGAAATATCTATAGGAAGAATCAAACACATCATGGCCACTTCAGTGACTACTCATTCATCCGCATTGTGAACATTCTTCTTCCATGAATCTTAGGTTCTACAGATTGCTCTGCAAGACTACCTGAATAAAATGGTAGTCATTTTATTTCACGCAGCTACTCATTATTTGCAGATTACTACCTTAAATTACATTGGTTATAAAAGAATATATAGAAATAACGTACTTCAGTGCTTGAATGGTATTATATGAAATGTTATAAGAAATTAACGCATCCGTAATGTGGCTATTACAATTTTTAGTTTAAGTTACCATAATTTTATGTGCTTTTAGAGTAGGAAAGGAGATTAGGAGAAGTCAAAACAGAAAAATCTGGTGAGCAGTGTTAACTTATAAGCTCACACAACAACTGAAGAAGCGTCGGTGGCACAGCGGTTAGGACTCTCGCCGATCATGCAGATGGTCCGAGGTTCGATCCCTCGCCGACGCACACATGATATCTATGGTCGCCCTGCTAAATTTGGGCTACCGATATCACATGCTGAAAATTTCATACTTGTACCAAAATACTGTGTGAAATCAAGCTATAATAAAATAATAAATAATAATAATTCATAAGGGTGAAATTAGCTCCGTGAGTTGAAATCCCTAATATGAATGATTAATCACCGTAATTGAAATGCAGTCACCAATGAAGTGAGAGGCTGACTACACTTTCTTTTTTGTATGCTGCATAAGTTTGGTTTGAAACGTTTGATTGTAATTGCTTCAGCAAAATCTAAATTAGAAAACGACGTTTTATAACAAAATATTTAGAGCGAACAATTGTTTTCAATAAATTCTTCTTCAGGCTCTACATTTATAAATCCATTAATTTAAGCATACAATAGCCATAAAGGCAGATTAGAATCATATCAGAAGGTGTATTGTGGAACAAATATAAGATGGGATTTATTCGAAAGTGTATTGTCAACAACCGGTATCCTAAATTATATTCAAAATCCCTTCGTCGAAGCAAAACACGACCGAACGAAAAGTCATTAAAGCGATTCGCCGTTAATCAAATCGAATCACTTCAAGTCTATATATCTGAACTAGAGAGAAATATTTCACAAAGACTTTACGCCGTCGATGAACTTCCTCAGAACCTGAAGGATTTATTTATTGACTACGTTAATGAAGTTTTAAAAACTCGAGAAAGCAAGAAATTGATATTATTAACCAAAGGACTAGATACAGAAACGACTGAAACTAATTTTCCAGTTGACTATAACCGGTACGTTTTCAATTTTTCCTCTGTATGCCTTGATAAAACACAACTTGAAGCTTTATCTCTCGGTTTAAAATTCTGTGACAGACGTAATCAGGTTGATCACTTAGAGACTGATGTCCAATTTGAAAACCTATTTACCCAGACAAGCGACCTAACTCCTTCGTCCAAGTATGAGCTAGGAAGATTTAAAAGTACCCTAGTCGATTCCTGTTACCAGTTTAAGAACAGCAAACATCCTGCCAACAGTCTACTTACAAAGAAACACCGAGAGGCATTACGTGACCTCAAAAAGAACGAAAATCTGATAATAACTAGACCTGACAAGGGATCTGGTACAGTTATCATGAATAAGAGTGATTATTTAGACAAAATGGATATCATTCTAAGCGACCATACGAAATTTCAAAAGCTGAGCAGCTGTAAAGACACAACTGAGGCAACCGAACGCCAAATGGCTAAGACTCTAAAATCATTAGTTGAGAGTAATCTGATTCCTAAGGATACACTCGACGAATTGAAACCCTCAGGTACGCACACACCAAGACTTTATGGTTTACCAAAAGTCCACAAGCCGGGAGTACCACTACGTCCCATCTTAGATATGTGTCAATCGCCTTATCATTCTACAGCAAAGTGGTTGGTAAAGGCACTAGAGCCATTACATCGCGAATTAGTCAAATTCAGTGTAAAAGACGTATTTTGCTTTGTGGAAACTACCAAAAGCCTGAATGTAAAGGGAAAGAAAATGATGTCACTGGATGTAGCATCATTATTCACCAACGTCCCACTGCTTGAAACAGTCAACTACATATGTGACCAGCTGATAGAAAGAAAGATAGATGTAGGAATCCCATCCGAAAAAGTCAAAGAATTATTATTGAAATGCACTATGAATGTTCAGTTTATGTTCAATAATGGTTTCTATAGACAAGTTGATGGTGTAGCCATGGGATCACCTCTGGGCCCTATGCTAGCGGATATTTTCCTGGCAAAGCTTGAAAACGGCCCACTTAAAGACACGATTAAAGGGTTTGATTATTATTGTCGATACGTAGATGATACCTTTATCGTTTGTGATATAAATCTCAATAAACAAGAGCTTCTCAATGCTGTTAATAGTGTTCACCCAACTATTCAGTTTACATGTGAAGAAGAAGAAAATAACAGTTTACCTTTCCTAGACGTCCTCCTTACCATGAAGACAGACGGGTATCTACAAAGGAAACTATTTAGAAAGAAAACTTGGACGGGTCAGTACACCCATTTCCATAGCTTCGCACCTATTCAGTACAAAAGAAACTTAGTTAAGTGTCTAAGCTATAGAATAAAACGTATATGTTCAGAAGAATGCATTAAGGAAGAAATGCACAAACTGAAACTCACACTACAAGAAAATGGATATCCATAGAGCTTCCTAAAAAAGTATATGTCAATACCTGCAGACAAGGTAAAGGTGGATACCGTAGAAAAGAAACCTTTATATCTTAAGTTAAGTTACAAAGGGGAAATTGCAGCTGACATTCTAAAATGTCGACTTAACAGAGCAGTAGATAGAACATTTCCTGCAGCTAAACTGGTACTCAACTTCTCAACTAAACCAGTACTCACACAGCAAGTAAAGGATAAATTACCAAAGATGGCCTCATCAATGTGCATCTATGAATTTAACTGCTCATGTGGAGCTAGTTACATTGGCCGTACTCAGAGGGCTTTATCCATGCGCGCACGTGAACATGTACCTGTATGGTTGAGTAAAGGAGTAACCAAGTGTGTAAATAGTGCAGTCTTAGCCCACCTGGTAGATACTGGACACCAGATAAAACTTGACCAGGCGTTCTCAGTTATTTACCGCGTTCCTAGTAATTTATCTAGAGGAGCTCGACTGCGTCTTCTATCAGTAGCTGAAGCGGTGGCAATTAATACCAGAAGACCATCTCTTTGCATACAGAAGAAGTATGTTCAACCATTACGTTTACCTTGGCCTACAATAAAGCCAACAAATCCTCCACTATAAATTCCTTTCACAATTTTCTTTTCTTCTTCTTCTTCTATTCCTCTGTTTCATTGACAATCGTTCATTTTCGACTTTTATGATTTCATGACCTTTCTTATGATTTTATTACCTTGCTATCGTATTTACAAAAAATCCTATTCATTCCACTTCATTATATTCATTATTATTATTTGACAATCATTCACCAATAGTGCATGTAATTTTACACCATATCATCGTTATTATTTTACAATCATTCTTATTGTCGTTATTTTCAACCTTGAACTTATGTCTAGTCCGCCCCATTCGTTGGTCTATTTTCATATTGTCTCACACACCCTGATTACACACACTCTCGAAACCTGTATTTCTGTTGACTATATCTATATATATACACACATCATTAAATTAAATTACTTCATCTGATTTTGTCCCATGTTCTCATTGACCATGCATATTAAATAAGACGTTTTATAATTTGAATCCTTTGTCAGTAGTCTGACGTGGAGGTAGTTTAAAAGTATAGGAAAACACTGTCGTGTATGACTGTAAAGAAATAACAGTTATCCTGCAAGAAAACTGACTATCAAACGCTTTATCAACACTAGCACAGTTATCCAAGTAACTGCCTTCAGATTTATTCACAAAGTAAGGAATGACCTGTCAAAATCAATGCATACATACACCTACTGAAATGTTGGAGCAAATTTGTAGCTCATGGTGGGCAGTTTTAGTCTAGCTGTGTGTTTTCTGAGCCTGGCGTTTTGATTGTGAAGCTTCCATTGGCCTTCAATACAACATCCTAGCTGCAGACAGCATTCTGAAGTGAGCTTTCAGAATTCTCTATGAACTTATTAGGTGTCTCTTCTAATAACATTGAATGTGACTGGGTGTTTTTAGGAATATTCTCATTCTCTAGTCCAGTTGTATGAGCAGTGAATATTTTATTGGCCTCGAAAGTTATCCTTTTGTTCATGTGAGTTTCCTTTCATTGATTAGTAAATCTTATCTATGTCAGCAGGTCTACTGAATGAACATTCATCTGAGTACTAGGCTTCTAGAGAATCCCTACATTTTTTATTTTACTTTCATATAAGATCTTTACGTTTTACCAGTCGTATTGGTGTTGACAGTTGCCTTCGTGCATTGAAACGATGAAACAATTATCTTTGTGAGTGACATCCATTCCAGAGACTTTCAATAACTTTACAGTTGTTTAGAGAAGTTCTTCACATATGATACGACTATTTTCTTTGTGCTCTCATAAGTATTATTATTCCCTATAGTTCCTAATGGAACATACGACTTCAACACTAGATCTTCTCTGTAGTCTTCTTTACCTGGCTCCACAATAGTCCATAAGCTTTCATCTTCTTCTCATCTTACTGCACCTTCACCCACCTTAATATTTCCTCGACTACATAAGGACGGCTACTTTGTTACACTGCGAAGGGCATTCAAAGCTGTTAGTACGCCGACTGGAGTGTCACTAAACCAACTTATTAATACTAGTGTATTTTCAAGTATTGGTTTTGTAGGCATTTTGTTTTATTGGTTAGAGGATTTCATCATGAGCTGACATCAGTAAAAGAATCACTGGAAAACCTTGGAGTACTGGGCAGTCATTTCGTCCTA